TCAGGTATGGAAGTTGAAATAGGGTGTCGGGAGGGTAGTATGGTCTGCGCCCAACAACCGCTTGTACCGCTTTCGCGGCAAAAAATTGTAAGGGAGGGCGCTATAGCGCAATATAGGTTCAGTGACGCCTCCTTTTCTCCAGTGACTCCGCCTCCAGACTCCTCAAGGCCCGCCTTCCAGTGAAAAACGAAGCTGCAGGACGAAAAAGCATGAAAATCGTCACTTGTACGGTCGTAGAGTTCTTATCGGGAATCAGCTGTGCGGATGGGGATGTAGTGTTGAAGATGGACTTAATTAGGCGCCTGCAAATTGGGATCGGAACGGGGTCCTATCTAAGGCATTTGGCATGTTTTTTCTGCTTTTTTTCTTCACTGTCGAGTTACTCAGAACCTTGTCGTCTATATGCAAACCCCTAACAAACTATCTGTGATGGCGAATGATCGCTGGGCTTTGCCTTTAATCACTGATATCTGATGTAATTGATAGTGACAACCTACATGTTCAGGATTGCATTCACAAGTGTTTTGGTAATCAGTTCTGCTATTCGCTGAAATACGATGTGAGTGCAGTGGAGCGATGTTCCCTGTACTATTTTGCCGCTTACAATTGTACTGGACAAGAACTTGTACTGGCCAATTCCGTCCACTACAATGGAGGAGCGACTACCATTGACTGTCTGCGATGTCCAGCGAACGGCGATTTTGGTATGTCATCACTCAGACTTGGAAAATGTACTTGCGCGGACGTTGATCTCATTAACTGCGAAATTATCATGTCAAAAGTCAAGTAGAAAACGATTTTTGCAAGGTCGATGGATGGTCGTATGGGCCCGTATGAGGCTAATTATTCGAATCTTTCATCGCACTGGAGACGGACGGCACCAGCGGTTGGCATCCAACGCTGCATCCAATCCGTCAGAACATTTGCAACGTGGAAATTATCGCTGACCCTTTTCAAGGTTGTACAAAAACGGATCGATCTTTTGATTGTCCATCTTTCGTCGGGAACAAGAAATAATACGAAAAATGGATTTCTGACTCTCCTACAATCCGAACACTTGCAAAGGACAAAAAATTTTAGTAGATTGATGGGAAATTTGAGTCATATCTTTGAGACTCAAGATTTTGAAGAGGAATGTATAGAATCAAATTTAACCACCATTACTATCGCGGGGTCCTTGCCAGACGTTCAAGCCAGAGCACATCATTGTTGGGGATTCCCCAACAAGGGGGTCGTATATGGTAGCTGGGAGAAGGGGAGCCCTATTTCGCCTGAGAAAATTCTTTAATAGTTGATTTTTCCTGTTTTACGTACGCTATAAAAGGGGAGGCCATATTTTCCCAAGGCACATCGTGTTGGTAATCCCCCAACAGGGGATCGTATTTGGTCGCTGGAGAGGGGGTCGTATTTGGGCTGAGAAAAATTATTTTGATAGTTGATTTTTCTTGTTTCACGGACGTTGTAAAGGGAGGGGGTCGTATTTACTCCTGATCCTTCTGAAGAAGCTCG